AAAATTGCGATAAAATCGCTGAATTGGTCGAAAGAGACCGGCATAGTAGCAGCCGTAGCATCGGTCAAGAGCTGGGCATGAGTCATCAAAAATTTATGTACAATTGAAAATTCAATAAAAATACTGCAAGACTTTTTTGACAACCTAATATTTAATTCTACTATCTTCTACTTATTTCTTTACCATAGAAATACCAAGGTCTTTATGGATATTTTCGATACGCATGTATCATGGTGAAGTATTCGAATCATTTTCAATTGGAACCTTTGTATTATACTTGAAAAAATCTTAAGCTATTTTAAGATTGAAGTTCTAAACGTTGGACTCACTAGTATGCGCAACTAAAAGCTACTTGCCTGTGCCTTGGTCGAATTTAAGAATTCCGATTAAAAATGAAAAACGTCCATTCGCGATTATAGTCTTTAATACAATAGCATTATTTTTTACATTATTTCATTAGTTAGCCTTAATCTTAACCTAACGGCTTAGACTACTGGTAAGTATGTATACAAAAAAAGGGGTAAGTATGTGTATGTTCAGCATTCTAACAAGTCATGGTAATAGATTATTCTAATACTTAGGTAGTAGATGATGGTTATGGTTGTACAAGTATACTATACAATTGTAAGTATTTTACATGATGTAAAACATTTTATAATGTATTCAAATATTATTCAATTATTTCGGCAAATTTATTTCTTAATACATTTTTTAATTTTATAAAATCGCATGACGCAACAATATCAATATTAGTTGCACAGGTCGTACCCCACAGTTGTATGCCATACATCCAAATTGCTCTTATGACCGCAGTATATAAAAGCACTTTGTTGCCTAGGTTAAGTTTAGAGTTTTTATTTAAACGCCAATTTAAATTTGAAGCTCGAATCTTCATACATGTTATTTTACTAGAGATTGGTTTTCTCCACGTGAGCCTTCTATCATTCTTGTATAAATGTGAATGAACAGAAGTGTAAGCATATTACATTTTCGCTAAGACCAAAGATGTGCTCTAATATACTTGATGCTAAAATGTGGCAGTTGTTACGGCTCACTATAGCTGTATCATGCGCAAAAGTTGAAGTTAATACATTTTTAGCTGCTCTATAGAGTTGGGTCTAAAACACTGCCCTGTGGTACACCAGCTCTTATCTATCTTTCATCAGATATGAAATCTCCTACTTTCCCCATAAATTGTCTATAATTTAAATAAGACTCCAATGTTTTATACAATTCTCAAGGTAGAATTTCTTATATAAAAGGCCTTCATGCAACACCTCATCAAACCCCTGAGCTACATCTAGAAATATTGCTGAACAGTACTCCCTGTGCTCAAATGCTTTCCTTATTTCGTTTGTAATTCTATTAACTTGCTTTATTGGGCCATGTTTCGCACGAAATCCGAATTGATGCTTTATTATTGTATTATTTTCGTGGAGAAAAGGAGATATCTTTGATAGTAAAACTTTTTCAAATACTTTAGAAAGACAGGGTAGAAGTCTCTTTGGTCTGTATGAAGACGGCTGTGTTAAGTCTTTCTCCGGTTTATTTATCAAGATAATGTGCGACTTTTTCATGAAATTGGATAGTATCCGAAACTAAAAATTGCATTGAAGAGCTTGTTTGAATTTGAACACAGCTTCTTTAAGTACATTTCGGTGTTCAATTTTTCCTCACGTTTAAGCCCTTTCTGTAATTTTCGTACAGCAGATTTTCATTGAAGCTGAGTTGAATGGGAAAGATTTATCTACCGTTCACGTCTTGCAGGACTTTTTTTCATTTACAAGCTTTTCTATTACTCTAGTCGTGATTTTTCTGGGACTAAGCGGCTTACTTATTCATTATTTGAAAAATAAAAATACAAGACTTTCAGCTCACGATTTTAATATAAACGACTTAAATAATAAAAATGGAACCTTCTATTTAAGATTTATTTACAAGCAATATGTTTTTATGAACTAAAAATATATGTTAAAAATAAATTTTAAGAAGGAAGAATAACTTAAATATATTTCTTTAACTTTTTACGAGATAGGTATTCAGATATTTTAGTGATGTTTACAATAGACATTATTTTTAATAAATCAAGAGCTTTATTATTCTGAAATCTACTGGTCCTTGCTGAATTGATGAAGGGGCCTTCATCCAGTAGATGTGTTATGGTTAAGGACCACGAACTACAATATAGACAGGATGAATTACGGTTTCCATTTAAAAAGGTGCGTGGAGTCCCTACGTGCGGATGAAATTATACTTCTTAGTGATATTCCAAGAAATGCATATCATTTTGTATGAAAGAAAACTAGAAAACTTAAATTTACATTTTATAAATTTATTATGCACATTTTATAAAGCAAAGTATAAATTAAGGAATTTTGATTCGGAAAGTAGTTCTGTTATATATGCGAGGCATATTGTTGCTTTTACACTAACAAAATATACACCAAATTCTCTATCACAACCATACCACCATAAATATGACTTCAGCCAAACAAAGAAACA